TCACAATACGAGCACACCTGAGTTAACAAGAATGCAGTTTAATACCATATGCAAATGCAAAAACCCATTTATTGGATGTCATTATACAGATAAAGTATCCAGATGCAGATCATATTTTATGTAATATGAGGAGCCAATTGGTCCTATGAGTTATCCCTTTCATACAAATAGACATGCATTTAATCCATCATTAAAACAAAAATATTGATTATATATTAACCCTGATTGACTTGTATAATCCATCACAATAAACATTAATGCTATTTTCCTTTTTGTCAATGGTAATGTAGTTTAAGTGCAGACTCTGACAAAACATAATGTAGACTTAATGTTCATTTTGGATTACACAGCTTTGAGCAACTTCTATTAGCAGACTGCTAATAGATTTTTGAATTAAATGGAAATAAAAGTGTGCCTGTAATCGTAGGAAAAATAAAGATTGCTAAAACACACCTGCATTGTTTGCAAAATGGTTACAGTATGTGATTTTTGAAAAACAAAACCAAGCTGCCAAACTACTGGAATGGTCCTACACATTCATCAAATTGCATGGGTCAGCATCATAAATACAGCAGACTGTCTGCTCCAAGAGAACAGCTCAGAGAGGGATAAGAACAAGACTATAGTAGAGCTCAGGCTCAACTAATAACAGAGGAGTTTAAGCTGAGCTGTGACTCACAGCAAGCTGCTGCATGAGCTCTTAATACACCGCAGCAGTCATGAAACTGTCACAGTACATCACAAATTAAGTATATTTGAGTATATTTACCTTTAAGACCTTTATCTTTAAAACCTCAAAACCAACAACTTTTCTTACCTGTTTAACCCCAACTTGTTTCTCTGGTCAGAGTGTCTGCTTGTGAGGAAACAGGAACTGATACCTACTGTAAAATGGCTGCCGTGTCCACCAGGCCCACTCAGCTCACACTCTTCAGTATCTCAGGTGACTCACTCCTGGTGTTAGATGCTCAGTTCCGCACACGCAGGGCGATTAGCCAATGTGTGTGGAGAACTGAGGGGGGAGTAAAAGCTTAAACATTAAACCTGAACCGCCCCTGTGCTGGTGCTGACTGGCACCACTAGTTAATCTGTGGGAGAGAGAGAGAGAGAGAGAGAGAGAGAGAGAGAGAGAGAGAGAGAGAGAGGCTGAAACTGTTGACATTAATAAAACTGAGGAAAGGAGGTGGTGATCTAACCTGAAATAGTGCATGTAACCCACAGCAGGTGCCTGAATGGCCATTTAGGCTGCTTGAAGTGCATATTATTGGTACTTTATTAATACGTAAAGGGCGAGAAGTTGATAGTCCACTCTTTAATACTACTTCAGGGACTCCTATACAAGCCTAGCATTGTCTGTTAAAACTTAAAGTATTATGGATATCACTGTAAACTATCAAAAACAGTGGCTTGTCCACAAGATTACACTTATTTTTTGAGACAAGCATGTGTTTGATATCAGCCCTACGATATCAATTACATCTCATATCTAAGATCTGTGAAATACTGCTTTATCATCCCGTCATTTATGAATAATTCATTCTCATCTCAGCTGTGTCATATTGTGTTGTTGTCACAGAGGGAACTGGAGTGTTTGGCACTAGAGGGCAGCAAGATCCTGTTCTTCTCACTTAGACCGCCACTCTCTCTCTCTCTCTCTCTCTCTCTCTCTCTCTCTCTCTCTCTCTCTCTCTCTCTCCCTCACTGAGTTTGTTCTGTCTCTTTATCTCATTTACTGTCTCTCTCTCTCTCCCTCTCCCACTTACCTTTTCTCTGCTGCATTTAGTGTTTCCAAACCTGGCTGCCCCTGTGAACACCAACCAACAACTATTAGCAACTAATTCTTTATACCATGTTTCTTCAGTCACATGCAAAATATGGAATAAAATAGCAGCTAAATGCATTGAATACATCCTGATCTTGATAATGTTTTCAAGTGCAAGTTGTTATTTCAATACCGCCAGTATCGAGTCTGCTTTCCCCTTTAGCAATGACTCGATGCTACATTTCTTTCTTCACTCTGATTAACCCTACATATCATGAAGGATACAGCAGCAATCATTCCTGCTGTATAATGTGACGTCACTCTGTGCCAGTGATTCTTCCAGCTCTGATTTTCATGTAGAGACAGCTCAAGGCAAGGACATCTGTAGTGACCCCCCCACCCCCCTCCACCCTCACACACACACACACACACACACACACACACACACACACACACACTGCAGTACTCTTACAGTACAGTAAACACATAATGCAACCCACTTTCTCAAGTGAGTAGGCTACCAGTCCCACCAGTGGCCTTGGCCTGGGGCTACCTCATCTGTTGGTGCCATGTGTGTCCTCTACTGCCGGCACAGGGGCCTGCTCAGCTGCAAATAATATGCAGAACAATGCAAGAGTCACGTATAAGGAGTGTTTGGATAATATATAAAGCAAAAGCCTAACATGTTAAATAGTTACATAAAATAGCATACATACAGGTCTCACCGTCCTGTGTAACATAAACATGATGAATAATTGAAATATGTTGTGAATCAAATGTTTAAATGTGAAATGTCTCCACTTTTTGAAAATAAATTTAGCACAGATGAAATGATGTTATTTTACATCAAATATGTAATTACGAAAGATAAATACGGAAAAGAATGAATGAGGAAAATGTTAAAAGAAGAGATTGAAATTTCAGGAAATATGCTTATTGGCTATCTTGCTGAGAGTTGGATGAGAAGATCAATACCACTCTTATTTTTGTCTGTTGGAAAGCTACCAGGAGACCATTAGCTTAGCTTAGCACAAAGGCTCTGTCTAAAGGTAAAACAAGACTACAAGAAGAGCAAAGAACGGCACTGAAGTCAGTTATTTCTTTGCCTCATTCAAAGCACTTTGAATTGTCTTTCTTTTCGAAAGGTGTTGTACAAATAAACTTGCCTTGACTTGCCTATTAAGTAATTTTTCCTTTTACCTTCATGCATTTATGATTTGACTATGGCTAATGTATTGTCTTTGCTAACACACTGATGTGTGATGGCAAGTCTTATAGTCCTTTCACAGGGGTCAGAGTTATCATATAGTGGCCTGACTCTGAGTGCTTCATTACAGAGTGATGTACTGATGATCAAGTATTAAAAGATGGGGTGGTGATGAGTGATGCCAGCTTTTCAGTAATACTGGTGGCTGTGTAGAAAGTGAATCTACAGTATATAACTATAAACTGTAGACCTACTTGATGTGAGATGTAATCATAAATCTGAATTTCTAGCCTTGGCTGAAATTATTCTGTCAAGTGGAGAACACATGTGCAGCTACGTGTATACATTATGTGCGTATATATGCACACACGCACATACACACTGTGGATACATACATGTACATTTTCATGCTTGAAGTCTTGACACACGGCTTGAGGGCTCCAAAAAGAGCTCTTTTCCTCCTTCAAAGCTAAGAAGAAGGGAAGCTGCAGCAGCCACCAACAGACAACATCATTTGTATCCGTTCATTCTGCCTCAGAGAGAGAAATGTGCAACAGAGGAAGAGATGCAGATAAATAGAGATAGAACGATAGAAAGAGAAAGAGAGAAATGATTGATGCTAAAATAAATGACACTCAAAAAAACATTTGGTGGAATGAAAAGGCCCTTCACACCCACTCTTCACCACTCCAGCATTGTGCATTAAAAAGGCCCCAAACCAAGATCAATACTCATATTCTCTCTGATTTTCCCAACTGTATGCCAAACCACGTTAGGTGAAAGTAATAGGGAGGGCATTAAGCATAATGCAGCTGCTAGGTATTAGCTCCCAGGGCAGACAGGGAGAGAAGTGGGACTGTAATAAATTTAATAAATTACTTCCCCTGCCCACTGCAAGCAATCCGCAAAGGACCTTTTCACACTCTGGGATGATCCTCAACACCCTGCAAGCTGATTCCTCCACCTTTCCTCCCCCAGTACGAGGGTCATCTTCAGTCCTCTGCAACCTGCCTTCTTCTCGTCTTTTCTCACTGTGGACTTGATCTTCAGTACCCTCTAGGGGAGATCTCTGGTAATTTGATGCCTCTTTTTTTGCCATTCACACTTAAACACAAGAATAGGTAGCAGCTGGATGAATTAACTGTGATCATTAAAAGACTGACATTATTACACAAGGAAATAATGAAAAGCTTACCTGCTCAGGACATTAACTAAGCTGGAAATCTGTGGCTAAACTGGGCGTAATTTACCAACTTCCCACTGGCTTGCACTGTGAAACAACATCCTGATCTATTAGTGCGTGTTTGAAATCACAAATGATCCTTATCATACATGAAATGATAAAAACAACATTTAATTGTGCTGTGCTCATATGGGAGGGATGAGGAGCAGAGGAGATGTGCCCTGTGTTTCCACTGATGTGTGTTTGGGGTTGTATAGCAACAACTACAGGGTGACTGACTCTGCCACTCTTGCGGGATATCGGTCTGCTGCCAAATCCCTCCTGATTTGGCTGTAATTAACCAGGCTGAGCCTTGTTTGTGCATGTGGACATGAATAGTAGCTTGTTATTTGAACATTAATGGCTTGTGTGTGTGTGTGTGTGTGTGTGTGTGTGTGTGTGTGTGTGTGTGTGTGTGTGTGTGTGTGTGTGTGTGTGTATGTGTGTACAGCCCTTAGTTCACCTTGGAACAGCGCCTCAGCAGCTGTGTGTCCTTTGGAGCAATGTTTGTGTTTATGTCAATACATCCTCCTGTAATCATGTTTTAGGATGTCCCTGCCTCACAGTTTTACAGGAAGAGACGTGAAATGTCTATATCTGTCAATTCACATGCCAACCCACTTTTCAGTGGCACAATTGACTTAAGGCTGCTGCCATTTCCCATTTCCTTGAAGTGGACCTTATGAGAAAAAGTTGCAGATTGGAAGGGCATGCATGGCAGGAGTTTGGACCATTATTTTGTTGATTAAAGACATTACTTTAATTAATTTACCCCCCACCCCAAATAAAAATAAAAATGAAGAAGCGAGTTATGGTCATAGCTGAAGATAGTCTTTAATGATTTGACCTTGGTGTCTCTCCTTGCTAGGACATAAGTTCACCTGCAAAATGAAGGAACAGCGAACAGCATACAGAGAACATGTTAAACCCATTTGCCATCCATTAAAAGTTGATTTATTCCAGTGCTACTACGTACATTATGCATCATGTGGCAGTGTACACAGAACAATGATTGGGATACATTTCTTCACCTTTGGGGGGTTTTTCACTCTGTTATTGTTCAGTAGAAGTGTGTTCTGATTCCTGCTCTATGAGGAAAGCCTACTTTTCAGAATAATAAAAGACTCTGGGATGCGTTTATCACTTTGACTCATCTACCATCATCAGAATAACATCATGAATGTCCCTCATTTCACTACAAAATACTGTGAATTTTTCTATTTTCTGGTGGAGAAAATCGTATCACTATTAAATATTGGAATGGTGTTTTGGCAGGACTTTGTTGGTGATAGAATAAGGACTGAAGAAAACAAACCTTTACAACAGGGTAAAAAACAACAGAACCTGATCATACCACCATTCTTGGAATAGAAAGTTTCAAATTAATAAAATGCCAGAATTTCAAACCCTTCATATCCTTTCTAAATATTGTTTTTCTACTGCATACTGGCAACATGCTGTGCATTGCACCAGGCTACCTTTACCCCTGCGGTTCACCATTTGTCCCGTTTACTTGGCGACATCTACAATGAGGTCATATTTACAGGACACCCACTCTTGCTGTTCACAACCCTCCTGGGCCATAATGGACATCTGTCAGTAAATGAGCTATTGCTCTCATTTTTCTTCTTTTCAATCTACTCTCTCCCTCTTCCCTGCTGCTTGATGAAGGATGAAGTCCTTAACACCACTACTGTCTCATCTCTCTGGGGAAGACACTCCAGCATCTGTGATCCTTCCTGGTGTAACTGAATATTACACACGGAGTGCAACATGGAACATGACCTGGGGGTTCCCCTGCTTCTTCCTTTCTTTCTTTCTTTCTGTTTTTTTTTTTTTTCATTCAAACCACTCAAAGGTCTTTGCTGCGGGCCATTTGGGAAGCCTCTTTGTGTGTGGGGGACTGATGTTCTTAATGATGACAGATGACAAACGCGAGGTTAAACCTCTGATGTAATGAAGAGGTGGAAACCTTAGATATGAACAGGCAGGTGAGGTCGCAATCAAGCAGATAATCATCCATTAGCCGTCCTGACTCATTGGATGACACTGATTGAAACAGAGACTGTAATGGCATGATAGACCCCTCCATACTGGAAGGGTGGAGTGCAGCACTGTACGAGTGTCTAGAGGTGGGGGCAGTAAAGAGTCATGCTTCATCAACTCAAGTTGAAAAGAAAAAGCTAATATTCATGCTTGATTAAGTTCCACTCGTAGAAACTGAATATGTTCTTAAATGAAGTGCTCTATGGCCAGTCCAGAGCCTGTGGGAGAGTGGATTCGCTCACTGTCTCACAGGGGTTTGACTAAGACCCGATTCAGCTCGAAGCAGCTTGGAAATAATTAAGATCCAAGGAAAAAATAATGATCCTATTTGTCTGTTAGCTTGAGGGGCCATAAAGGTGATTTTTAGTACTAACATCCTTTTGGGACTCAGATTATCTACCATTCAAACTACTTTAGGACAGCATGCTAGCCCGCTAACCCGCTGACTTCCTGATCTGCCTTTTAAATGTTTTTTGGAAAAAATAACTCTTTCTCTTCAAATCTAAAATATACAAGTCATCACAACTTTAGGATGCGTCATTCACCATGCCTTTAAAATGTCTAATTTCTCCTCTATCATTGTGTTTAAATGTCATTTAGATAGACAAAAACTCCGCCTGATACTGTAATGTTAAAGGAATAGTTTGAAATATGCTTATTCGTTTTCTTGCTGAGGGTTACATAAGAAGATTGATACCACTCTCATGTCTGTAAATATAAATCTACCACTAGCAGTTGGTTAGCTTAGCTTAGCATTAAGACAGAAAACAGCTAGCCTGGCTCTGTAAGAAGGTAATAAAATCCACTTAGCAGCACCTTTAAAGCTCACTAATTAACCAATAGCTTTATATTTACTATACAGACATAAGGGTGGTATCAATCTTAAGAGGTAAAAACTCCAGCAAAAATTGTACTATAAAGAACAACCTATGGTCAATCTTCTCATCTAACTCTCGACTATGAAGCGAATAAGCGTATTTCTCAAAATGTCTAACTATTCTTTTAAACTTGCAGAGGGATCAATTCATGAAAGTTTCTTCAGCACTTTTATTTGTATCTTTTCAGGATTCTTTTGTAATGGTGATTTTTCTTCACATCATATTTTAAACAGGGAATGCATTACAGAATGACATTACTGCAACCCTCTAGGTTCTGCAACTCTAAAACCCCTAGATATCCTAGTAAAAAAATGAACTTTTAGTAAAAAATGACAAAAGAAAGGAAAGGCAACAAACAAACAAACAAAATATAATAAAATCAAAATCATGTAAATCATGTAAAATCATCAAGCCATACAAGGAAGAGTGTCCCATTGTCATTTTTGCACGGAACCATGCGAAGGGTCAAGGTTTGTTTCTCAGTTTGACTGTGATGTGTGCCTGTGTGGCCGTATATACCAGCAGACCTCAAGCCATGCCATTATCTTAAGACCACAGGAAGCTCTAATTAGTGATGAGAAAGGTAGAGAACTACATATTTCATTGTTTTGTGTATGAGTGTGCAGCATTGAGCTAAAAGTGAACTTGTTCTCTGACAAACACACGCACAAATACTCTCTCAGTCTGTCTCACTCTCGCTTACTCTCTAAACTTTTTCATTTCTCACGGTGTTAGTAGAAATAGAAAAAAAAGTTTTCAAAACATTTAGAGTTGCTGTGTAATGGAGGCAATGTTATGCATTACATTAAGACATTTTCTTTAAATTTTTGGAGAGGAATGTATCTGAAAAAGGAATGCAATGCTGTATTCAGACTGTTAACATCGTAAAAAAGCTCTGAAATTAGTAATTAAATAACCCTCTACTATTTATACATTCAGGCACTGAAAAATCACATGTCAATATGTAACTAAAAAAGATAGTCGCTCTCATTTTCCCTTGGTAAGAACAAGGAAGCTGAAACCTTGAAGTTGGCAACTGTGTAAATTTTTCCTACCCAGTAGTAATGCCATATGCATCCCCTTTGCTCTTCTTTTGTGTGACAGTTTCCCCTCCCCCTTTAGCGCATTTTCAAACACTGACTGAAGTCAGAGCTTTCGTAGCCTCCTCTAAAGCTTTCACCCTAACCTATGGGAAAGAATCCATGACACTAGTCTTTTGAAAGGGAAATCCAATGGTTTGTCTCGCTCTCCTCACCGTACAAACAGATAGACGGACGGATGGGTGGACGGATGTCCTCCATGGCCTCAGAGGGCCAGCAGGTGAGCCGAGGCCCTCAGCTCCACAGACCAACTTCCCCCCTCGTTGTTAAGGACTCTCCGGTGTGATAGCCAGCTCTCACCCCAGCGACCCTGAACTCAGTCATTTTTTAACTATACAAGGGCTTTTACAAAAAAGCTAACTTGAACAGCCATACAATGGCTAAAACATAAACCATATCTCTACTTTATCTCGGTTTTTCAGTCATTTTTAATTTTTTTTCTCTTTTTCTTTTTTTGGATGCATTTGTGTTTTTTCTTGATTTAAGTCTGTTTGCTTTTCTTTGTTCTTTTGGAGTAGCTCTGATCCAGTCCTGTGCTGAGAGGCTCAGTCACAGAGGAATTGGTTTTTGGATTTGATGTTGGGTGGGGAGGAAGGGGAGAGGGTATGGTTGGGTGGGATTGAGAGAATAAGGGACAGGATCAGGTCAGGGGTCAAGATATGGGTTCATTATTATTCCAGACAGGGACTCGCCAGCGGTTACAGGGACAACTTTGGATGGGACAGAATGAGGTGACGAGTTGGTTTGGGAAAGGTGGGTCTCGAGGGTGATTGCAGAGGGTGTGTCAAGGTTATCCGCTATCAGAAGATGTGTGTGGTGCTGTGGAGGGAGAGCGCCGCCTACGGGCGGTGGAAGTCCAGGATCGCTCAGAGCGTTCAGAGCGCTCTGAGGCTAGTGAGGCGGGCCGAAAGCGGTGAACAAAGCCGTCCAGGAAGTCCTGCTGCTGCTGGGTTATGGCTTGGGAGATGAGGCAGGGCAGCGCCTGCAGGCTGCCCGTCACCGAGTCCAGCTTGTCCTCCAATGTGCCGATGCGCTTGTCTAGCTCCTCACTGCGCTCCTGCAGCTCTGACACCAGGTCATACATCACATTCTGGGTCTAATGAAGGAGAGAAAGTAAATGTGTTTGGGGAGGTGCAAGAACATGAGGACAGAGACGGAAGAGGAGGAGGGCAGAACAAAGGAGACAAGATTAAAAACATAAACAACTCTGTTTCACAACTTAATTTCTACAAGGAGAGATGCAACAGACGATACAGTATGTTTACATAGACAGTCTAAATCTGACTTACTCAGTCTGAAGAGAAGTAAAATAATGACAGGAAGCAGTGTGAAGAGGAACTGTATAGTTTCAGCAAGTCAGCATTGATTTTATCTTCCCACCGTTTCACAACCAGCTTCTCCAATCCATTTATAGCCAGAGAAAGTCTTTAATGCTTTATGTATATATGCCTGACACAACTCATTCACATAATGAAAAGTGTCTTTATTATAAAGGAACTTTTTGTTCCACAGTGGATACATTGGAGACAGTGTTAATGTATGTGGTATCTGCATGTAATTCTTGTTCTCAGACTTCATATATTCCATATATATTTCTGTCTTATCTATAAGCCAGAAATCAAAGGGTTACTTCTCCTTGGGGCTTAGAAAAGAGACACTGAGCCGTTGAACTACTGTAGGGTGTACACAGATGGATCTGACCATCGAGCAGAGTAAGGGCAAGTAAACACACATTAAAGGAGTTGGCCTTAGAACCTTTTAAAATACACACTGGAGTGCAAATGCCATCCACATCAAATGAGGCTGCAGTCATGTACATCCCTTTGAACCCCCTCTCTGCCCTGCTTTGGTGGGTCAGCTGATACAGCTGGACAGAAGCTACCGAGGCATGACTGCATTCACCCTCCTATACAGCCAGATCCTCAAACTCTATAGGAATTCAGTCTGTGTTGATTTGATTTCAGTTATTTGACAAACATGAATGACAACAAAACAACAGAAGTATACAGTAGACTTCAGGGATCATCTCTTATTGTCTCTGGTGATTTTAAAGCTCATAAGAACAAAAGTTGAAAAGATTGAAAGATGCTAAAAAGCTCCGTAGAGTTGAAGGGAACTGATGGGAAAATACTGATTATAGCCACTTTAAGGTTACATCAGAAAGGACACTTACCTTTGCCAGGTCCACCAAGGTGTTGGCCTGATCATTGAGTTTCCTCTGCTCCATCTTCACACTGCGCAGTCTGGTGAAGGCACAGGGAGGTGGGAACAGGAGGAAGAGGGAAGGAGGAAGTGGACAAAGGAGAGAGGTGGAGGAAATAAGGGAGTACAGGGGGAGGAGGGTGGTTTGCAGGAGTGGAGCATAGAGAAACAGGTTGTTTGGGGTTATGAAGGGGCAGAGAGGGCCAGTGGGGAAGAAAGAAGGAGGAGGAGGAAGAGGAGGAGGAGGAACAACACAATTTTTATCAGGCGTGCTCTCTTACTGATGACATTGAAAACAGAGAGGACAGCCTGCATGCATCATAAATATATGTACTTTACATGTCTATATGTATACATATATATAGAAATATATATGTATATATATACAAGCATTCCTGGTCTTGGTCAATGCAATACCAACCAAAACATGCAAAATCTCGGAAGCATACTACGCTCATTTTGAAAAATATAAAGAGTGTGTTTATCATGTTTTATCTGGGTCTTTTTTTTGTTATAACAAGATCTTTTTCTCATAAAAGGCAATGCTTTAAGTGGCATTGTTTTTAACTTAAAAAGTATTTTTTGCTGCCATGAGAAACAGTCTTAATACTGAGAGATCTTGTTACAACCCAAAAATAATCTAATTTTTGAATAAGACAAAAAAAAATCTTAATATAATGCCAAAAGTGTTATTATCACTATGACAAAACATGATGTCTTTTCCAGCAAGAACACAATATGCTTCCATACAATAAAAAATCCCCAAATCTGTTTGAAATCAAAGCATTCCCATCTCTTTCCACCCAAAAGTAAGACATTAAAAAAGGAAAAAGATGACATGCCCTTTGTCAGTGCTACACACAGCTCAGTGGTAGGACTTCATATATACACACTGGTCATTCAGTAAGCGTGCAGTGACTGTGATTGACTTTGTGCACAATGAAATGTGAGTCTTGTGTGTGTGTTTGTGCGAATGTACATGGGTTGATGTGCGTGCGTGTGGATGCCACAGATAAAAGATGAAACTTGGCAGAAATAAACTGTCTAATGACAGTGCTGAACATACGGCAACATAGACATTTCAAATAACTTGCACAATGATACATCGGACATGTTTTGTGATGCCTTCAACATTGTGCCTCTTTATCTCTAATCAAATGCATTATGGCACTGTAAGAACTGCAAGCGCTGATGTGAATAATGTGTCATTGTTAGCGGTGGCATCACACAGCCATCATCTGGATGTGTGAGAGGAAGAATTTCCCTGTTCGGCAAATTATGAGACAGGATGACATTCAAGGGCATTTATTCATGTGCAAATCAGTATATCAGAGCAGAGTGAGACTGCTCGCTTACGGCTCTATCTCTGTGGGAAACCGTTTCAGCTCGTATGTGTCTGTTTGCTCGGCTTTGTCATCCCTTATGGCTGTCGAAGAATAGGGGCTAAAAGCTAAAAGCGCTACTTATTAGTGTAGCACATTATGAGTACAATTTTATTCTGCAGCCTACATGTTGTGTCATGTCTTTTTGTGCTGTGTTATCAATGTCATGTGCAAGCTTTAGTATTTGATCTTATATAAGAAAGGGAAAAAGTGAGAAAATTAATATTAATTCAACAGCAAACATTTCAACCTCATTACCACTACAGCACATTACAGTGTGTGTGTGTGTGTGTGTGTGTGTGTGTGTGTGTGTGTGTGTGTGTGTGTGTGTGTGTGTGTGTTCATGTCATCACAAAACCATCAGGAGTGTAGGATGAGTTCTGTTGATGCAGGTTAATATAGCCTCCAGAGCAGCTATATTAATCATGGGCAATGTTATACAGTACGTTGTAGATGATTATGAACCGCTGGCCAGGCCAACAAAGCTCCAAGCTCATTCTGTACAAGATGCTTTTTCTTTCACACGTTCTCTCCAGACAACCCTCCACTACTGACACCGGTGGCATAATGTTGATGCTTTTTTTTTTTTGTTTGTTTCATTCCATTCAAGGGGGGATGGGAGGGAGAGGGAAGTAAATGGAACACTGAAGTAAAAGAAAAACCAAAAACGATTCAGCATCCAGCATTTTTTCTTTTTTGTTTTGGTAACTTTTTTTTTCATGCATGTCAAACGCAGACATGGAGAGAGGAGGAGGAGGAGGAGGAGGATGTTGAGGAAACAGTAGGAGGAGGATACATAGAAGACTCAACTTACTTCTGAGCTCTGCAGTGATAGAGCAAAACAAAGACAGAACACAGTACAGAGTTTTAACCCCACGACATTCACGAAACGAGTGAAACCATTACACTTCTCACTGTAAGCACAGGGTAAAAGGGGGTCGGAGGGAGCGGGGACGGGTAAAGGGAATAGGAAGGACCATTACACTAGATTGCAGCGTGTGTGCTTGTGTACGTGTGGTGCGTGTGTGAGAGTTTACATGTGTGAGAGCATAACAATCAAAGGAAACGGTACTCTAGGAGAGGACATTGTAACAATCGCTAGAGGTGAAACTACCAAATATTCTCAGCTACGTCTACATTTCATCAGTTTATTAGCAATACAACTATTAATAATACAGCCTTAGATATTTTATACCACAGGTAATGTTAAAGATAATCACACATTGATTGATTGATTGAACAATAACATACGTTTTTTGGGCATGCTGAGTGATTCCCCCTGGTGGTTGGTCATATTTCTGTCAAACATTACATGACACCAAACAAACACTGTGCGGGACTTACTGGTGAATGGCTTGGAGAAACTTGCGCTGGTGTTTCCGCACCTTGGCGTGATCTATCTTCTTGACCAACTTAGTGTGTTTGTAGATGAGCCATGTTTCCCTGAGTACATTGGCAGCTGTGTTCTTTACCTGTGAAACAACGTTGAGAAAGACATAAGATATACAGTAACCTCTCCAAGGGGTTGTATCGGGCATCCATGACTCATATAACTGTTTTGTTTTTGCAAAATATATTATCACAGTTATTCCAAACATTGTAATAAACTGTGACTCACTCGTTTGCAGAGTTGTGTGTCCATCATGAAGTTGTGGACATGCTTCTCAGCCTTGGTCAACTCCAGCTTCCTGGCAACCACTGCAACCACCAGTGCAGTGCAACCAGCTCCCTGTTACACAAAGATGTGGTAAAGCAAACACAGCGACATTTTGTTTGTGAATTTTCCAATTCACAATTTATTAGTTTTTTATATTAATAAAAAAAAAAAATGAGAACCATTAAAGAAACAAAACAAAGCAGCTCAAAGTCTTGAAACACTGAAATATAACAACTATACACCAGGTAAGTAGAACACAATAACTAAAATGTGAAAAGCTGTGTTCAGATTTTTTAGATAGAAATTGTTTGGATTAGAAAAGTGGACCAAATCAGTGTATCAGTATGTAGAAAATGACAGGTCACTAAAAATGCATATGTATATTTGAGTTTGTTCAGTATGGTCAGAGCACAGCATGCAGTGAATGTGGTGAGAGCTGAGGTTTGAGTTCATAACTGTTGCAGTCAGAGTTGTCCTGTTATGTATTCATTCAAGAAAGGAACCCACCATAATCCCTGTAAGCAGACACACGCCTTTCCCACAGTACGTGTGTGGTACCATGTCCCCGTAGCCAATCGAAAGGAAGGTAATCGAGATGAGCCACATGGCTCCCAGGAAGTTACTGGTCACTTCCTGTTTGTCATGATACCTGAAGTGATGAAGATAAGCAGAAGTGGAATATACACAGTCAGTAAAACCGCACACAGCTTCTTGAACGAGAGCATGCTGGAGAATGACGTGGTGCTGTGTGAACCAAACAGGGATGGTGGGCGGAGGAGGTGGAGGTGGTGAAGATCGAGGAGGAGGAGGAAAAAATCATGGTGCAGGTGTTACACCTGTTTTGTAAGGCCAGTTTGGCACAGAGTCAAAAAAAAATCAAAGTCCATTCTGAGTAACAAAAATGAAGGTATATTCAATGGATTTGCAAGAGTTGCTATAATTCATTTCTAGTATTCTTTGAGTAATTTGTATCTGAGACGATGTAATGGAGAAACATGTTAAATGGGCAGGAAACTTAAACTGACATGAAGGCAGAAAAAAGCAAATAGTGTCCATTTTTTTTAAAGTAACTCATGGAATGATTTCAAACTGAGAGGGCAAACCACTGAACATGTGTTTCATGTTCAGTGTCTGTCAATATAAAAATTAACCATTTGGTGAGAGGAATTATATGAAGGAGCATTCAAAAAATGGGTCTGAGGCCAAATCACTTAGTCTTGTCGCACAAAACCATAGAAATGACAATTTTTAGACGACATGTTTCCAATGACAAAGAGACAGGCCATGTCGCTGTAAGTAACTGGATAAAGAGTACCGCAGGTCAAACTTGATTTGAATATGACAACCCAACAAATGTAATGTCAGAGCATCCAAAAATGCACATACTGCTGCATTAAATCAAACTAACAATTGGCTTATTGGTCACGGTTTGCTACAAATCTTCCTCCATAGAGTTTATGCTGCCCCAAAAAAAGGGTTTGGCAATGCAAATCATCACTTCAAACATGTTGTTTGCTGAAAATAGCTGACAGCCATGCTTGAATTGTCAGTCCAAAGGCCCACAGTGCATATGCAAAGATATTTCTATAAAAAACACACTGTACAAAGCTGGATTGATGATGACATTCCCATACCTTCTGCAACAAGACAAAAGTCCATCACAGAGGCAAATCTGCCTTATCCACCCACCCTCATTCAACTCGCCTCATTATTCCCAATGGGCTGTCTAGGAGGAGATCAGATAAGATTTAATTTTGGAGTTAAAATCAAATATTCATTAAACACTTTGAGACAACATCTCACTAACATCCTCCTGACAAGACAATGTAGATGGAGTCTAATTTCTTGGGATTTTGTCAAGCTTTTCTAAGGGTGATTCTGACTGGGCCAATCATGACTTAATAATGACTTCGAACTTTCCAGCGATAACCCAGCATGTGGACTCAAAATGTCCGGAACAATCACCTCTAATTAATGCACAAGTGCAGATTGGAACACTTGGTACCAGACTGAAATTTCCTTTCCTGTCCAATGAATGCAAAAAAAAATTACCCTGCTGGTTTTGTCAGAATGCACGCTCCTCCAAGACAGTTCATTGTTATCATATATCATAAATCAACTAATCATGCCTTCTGCAACTCCCACTCTCAAGTTTCTATTCATGCTCAAAGTCAGGTGCAAAAGTAACTATGTGAACTTTTTTCCCCTCAGAGTGACAAAAATGTGTGTGGTCTGTGGGATTCAAGCTTCTTAAATGACATGCAGAGAAGCAGTCGGTACAATACCATGCAGGAATAAAAAAGATGTCTGCATCCTGCATGCTTCAAAGCCAGTATATTGAGAGCAGGGGGAGGATGGGAAAACCTGGGGTCCATTTAGAGATGAAAACCACCTCTGACAAACACTGCAGTATTATCAGTTGGAAGGGGATTGTATGTTTTCTTGGACAGACTTTCATTTGTAAACAGTGGGGTAGGATTGGGTGAGTAACAAGGGGAGAAGCTCATTGAATTTGACATCCCTGTCTCTTTTACCTGCATCCCAACACTTCAGCAGCTGCCCTTTGATAGCTGCCAGGGGGCTAAACTTGATCAGCTGGCTAAATATTGTAATTACAATTGACTAGTATGTTAATTTCATTCATCTTGTCATCAAGGTGTGCAGAGAGTGAGTCATGTCCTCAAGGCAGGCAGAAATGTGCTGCACCTTTTAGCAAAGTGAACAATGTCTTAGAGTTCTCTCTGTTGTAAATATACCCCATAAATATGCTTGACAAAAATGCAGAAGGCATCTTTTTTTTCTCCAATAAAATGTTTTAGAGAATACTTCCTGTTTTATTATCTGTTTTTCTAATGGTGGATGTGGCAATATATTTTCAGCCCACATATTTCAATAATTCTAAAAAAGAGCAGAAAACAGCAATATGGGAATAGAGACAGAGGTTGAATGGGGAGCTAATCAATAGTATTTTAAGGCTCTCAATATACTGTGTCAAGTTTTGGAATAGCATGGAGAAGAGCTGGCACCACTTTCAACCTATTCCAGGACAAGAGGTATATAGTGTCTAGAGCAGACAGTTTTATCCCCCACTGTTAAATCCTCCCTGACAGACACTCTGCAGCGAAAGCATTATCCTGAAATCACTTACTCAAATATTTCAACGTTATTTATCCAATACTGTATATAAAATAATACTGTAATCTACATCCAGATGAGCTCAGAAACTTTGCTTCGGTGGTGGGTTAGAGGAGGGAGTACAGCATGATTCACACAACATAAGAGAAATAAAGCCAACTCTACAGCTCAATCTGCAATTTAACAGGTCAACAATAATAATAGGTAACAACAGCCTCTATGTATCATCCAGTCTTGTTAGCCCTACCCATTACCAAAATGTAAAACCAACACTATGTTTTGTGCTTTTGTGTGCTAATGAATGAGTCCCAGTCATTTACATCCTAACCGCCATTGTGTGTAGATGAGCTTATGATACATATGACGAGCAGCGGCCAAAGTTGACAACACAACCTCTGAACAAACAGAATCGTAATGATGGATTAAATGTGAAAGAGCCACACACACACACACACACACACATACATACACACACAAACAATCGGGGATATAAGAAATGTTTGATTAAAATCACTACAAAATGCAATATTTCAGATGTAAGAACACAAGGAAAGCATTAAACAGTTACTATGGATGCAGCATAACTAGCTTCGATCTCAATGCTTTCAATGAAAAATGTCACATTCTTATCCGCAATTAGGTCCAGTGTGTAACATTTAAGATGAGCTATTGGCAGAAATGGAATAAAGAATATTATTCATTGGTATGTTTTCATTGGTGTATAATCACTTGAATATTGGAATCGCTGTGTTTTTCCCATTTTCTACAGAGAATGGACAAACCCAAGCTTCACGGCCACCGTAGTTTATCCTACGCACTTCACAGCCCGTTCTCATTCCCAGGTCATCAAATACAGACCTGAGCTGTGTTCAGTTACCACTAGATGCCACTAAATCTGACACACTGGTCCATGAAGGGTTCTTATCTCGTTTTGGAGTGAATCACCTCACACACTGCTTCAATATAATAATAATAGGATAATAATGCAAAGAAGAGAGCTGTTTGTGGTATCACACATAAACATGTTACTTCCGTAGTTTGTGTCACACATAGGAGTTTTTTAATTCTACAACAAATTCTATACATCAAACTTTCTCTAGGAAAACCACAACGTTGCCTCTGTTTCTTCTTTCCTCCTCTGGCCAGCTGCTACAGCAAAGCAAATGACTTCCTCCTCGATCAAAAGCTACTGCTTAACATTCTGTAGCTATCGCCTGCCTACAACAACAGCACTTCCCCTCTTTTTTCCTGCATTTTTGTTTCACATCAAGAAAAAAACAAATTAACATATTTTTTCAACAAGTGCAAGTCTTGTTGCTATAAATGAATTTGAGTGCTGGTTGAGATTACTTGGGGACAAATATGTTGAGATGCTCCTCAGGGAGTGTGTTGGTTGCAGTAAACATGAGCAGATTAAACTCAAAGTGATGATGACCCAATTAAAAAACTGCAAACCTAACAGTGTATTTACAGCGCAGCCAATATGCAAAGCAAGCAAGCAAAGAGTAGTAGCACACCAAGTGGACTGTAACAATTTTATGACATATGCATTTTATAATAGGTTTTCAACTTTAAAAGATAATCAAATGATGTCAATAGAAGCATATTATCATATTAGCATTGTCATTTAGAGCATGCTGAAGTTAGCATTTAGGTCCAACCACCACAAGTACAGCCTCACAGAGCAGTTCAATTGTCTGTTACAATTTATATTCTCTATCTAAGGACATAAGATACTTTCCTTGTTGAAAGAAGATGTGCATTCTCACACCCTCTTCAGTCACCCTACATTTGACATATATCTATACTCTTTCCCTGTTTTCCCTGTAATGTGTAGACTGAAAAAGCTCAACTACACGGTAAAGGTTTTGATTTGTACCAGATGTGAGGTCTCATTACACTTTTGGGTTCCTTTCACTTCAATTCAAACGTAAGCAGAGGAGAGAAAGTATTATCCACAGCCATCTTCATCTCTTGGCTTCGTGCCCGAGTTTAACTCTGGTCAATGAATTCTTAAACACACTTGACCAGTCGAGGGGCTCAATGTCACAGTGACCCCTCATCTGATAATCAAACATGGAGGAGTGGCGGTCTCGCAAGGTGTGTTGTAATTGTGCTTTAGCCAATTGACATAAAATATAAACCAGAAGAGAGGCTAGCTGTGTTGCTGGACAGTAGCTTTTGATTAAGTGTGACCTAATGAGCCTTTGTACTGTATAATTGTTGCAGGGAGTGAAATTATTTTGTTGCACTGTACTATAATGTATTGCTGTCAACCAACTAGGTTGTGAATCCAAAAGTAAAGAGCTGCTTGGGTTTGCTGACTTGCAGATTTTGTAGTGAGGCAGGCTTCAGGCCTCAGTTGCCAGAAATGATCAAGTGTGTGTGTGTGTTTGTGAATCTCATCTAATTTAAAAAATAATGTATGAGAACTTCCAAAGGCTCTGCTACGCTGGTATAACTAGTGAGATTTCCTGCAAGTCACTCTATTACTAATTAAGATTACTAATTACT